TATCAAATCCTAACAATTGACACCTACATGAATCTCCTGGTAGCTTCTGCGCGAGGTTTTTTTTCTTCCTTTTTGCTTGATTTCCCGCTTCTTTTTTCTATTTCTATCTTTAATCTTGACTGATTTTTCGGGCTTCGATTTTCATTTTTGGTGATTTTGATCATGTCTTCTCTTTGTGTGCTGCTTAGCATATTTTTTTACCTTTTTTACCTGGCATTTCGTTTTTCCGTGTTTCTCTGCGCAGGCGATTCTTCTACGGATTTTTCTTCGGGTGTGACTTAATTTTTCCTTTGATATATATCTTGTTTTTTTGTCATGTTTATGTCTTCTCGGGCACCTCTTTATTTTTCATGCCTCTCTTTTTTTCTGATTTTCAATTTACCTATTTCGTTTTCAACTGTCTTTGCCGGTGCAATACCCGCAATTTCCCTGCTGTCACTTACTTGGTCCATGGTCTAGTCATCCGTTCCGTCGATCTACACTGTTGTTTTTTCGTAACTATTCCAATCCGCCATGTTGTTTTCTCAACCTTTGCGAATGGTCTAGTCGTTCCGTCGATCTACACTGTTGTTTTTTCGTAACTATTCCAATCCGCCATGTTGTTTTCTCAACCTTTGCGATCTGGTCTTTTTCGTTTCTTTCACCCGGATACATTCACGTTTCTGCCTCGCTTTGCTTACCTGTGTTTTGTTCCGTATATTTTCTTGATCATCTGCATTCTTAAAACCAATGTTTACCTTCTAGTCTGGGAGATGTATTTTCCCCTATCTCGAGATGCTACAATCTCTAGGGATAGTGATTTCAACTCTTAGCTTGATTATGGCTGACAAATTCTTTTCTCCGCCTATCCCTCTGGTAATTTACAACTTCGTTAGCCAAAAGGTTCCCCTTCCTTTGTTTAATTCTCGGTGGTTTTGTGTCACTTCATTCTCGCTTGGGTCTTTATTTTAGACGAGCGATTTGGAGCAGAACATCCTGCCTTGGCACTCCAAATATTCCGACAAAACGAGTGGTGTTGCCACTTGTTTCGCTTTGCGGGCTGCGTGAACACTACTTCAAACTTCGACACGACACCTGACACAAATACTCTGGTACTAATAAAAATATAATAACAATCGTCCAACGGTGATACCCTTGCGGTGCATAGATGGCATGTCTCCCGAGGGGGCATGAGGTTGAAATACTGTCAGGTTGCCCAAGGACAAGAATCGCGGCTGTGTTCGCACCACGGCTCTTCTGGTCTGTAAGTTCGCGCCTACACAACTCGGGTTCACTAAGGACTAACTGGTGATTCAGGTCTGGAACGCGACGGTTTATTCGTTTCCCTACTGCTGTGCAGCAAGTCATGTAAAACAACTCTACGGATGCACGCAAGAGCATGAAATTGTTGGACTAAGAAGCGGAACTAACATACCAATTACATGCACTGTAGCAGTGAAACTAGTCGATACCACACATGCAGTTAGTTATCATACATGTTCGAGAATATCAGACACACTCAGATCAGCAGCTGTGAAAACCGCGTACTTGTCGTAGTGATTTTAGCTGCCAGTGTCATTTACCGATGACGACGCGACGTCAGCCGGTTGAACACAGTACCTTCAGTGGTTAAGTTAATCTGGTAGTCAGTTTGTGAAACCCGATTGCTAGCCTACAATCAATATCTTCCAACTACTGTACAGGTGACGCAGGAATATTGATTTACCAACACGATGAACGTGGCCGGTGACACGGGACTCAGTCTTCACAAGCCAGACGGTAGATTGTGCCACATTCTGACTGACTGAAAGAGGACACAAAGTGGACGACAAATAACCTATAGGTGGAACATAAGGAGAAAACTTGAGGGTCTTAGCTGCGTTAGTTCATGCCGTCTGTCAGAGTGGAGCAGAGACACGCCTTACTAACGCAGCAAGATCATAGGCGATTGTCTTGTCAACCCACATATCTCGAGCTTAACGTTGGGACCTCACCGATCTCAATGGCTACCCACATTAAACTAACACTAAACACACTAACTACTCGCATATTGCAGCAATTCAAACGATTGGAAATGAATCATAGGGAGAGGCCTTCTAGTCTGAAGTAAACAGTGCCACCATATCACTCACTTGAAGCGTTACTAAAAAGCTTATTTCCAAAAGATTCACTGTACCTTTCTATTACTGAATTTGTTCAACACGACTACGCTTGTCCATGAGAGTTGGGCTGAAACAGAGTTTAAATTCGCAGTGGATTACTTGACGTCAAGATGAAGGTGACAATTAGAGTTGCATCGACGTCAGACAACGGATATTCCCATGTCGTTTAACATCACATTTTTATACACAATGATCTTGTTGCCCGTCTCTACATAGCTGCATAACCTCCGTTGCACATGGAAGGACTGAATTCGGTACCATGATCAATCTCACATTCAAAGCGTTCAAAGCTCAGTGCCACGAAACTGTGCTGAGCCAACGGAAATACCGCCCGCCACTTGACACCTGAAACTTTCAGTTGTTACACATTTTCAGTGCCTAATTGTCATGCCATCTGAAGGAAGTACGAGGAGTGGGATACTGCCAGATTACCCAAGCCTAGACAGGGTAAGTGGAGATGCTGAGGTCAGGTTCAACCACAGACCTTCAGGTCAGTAATTTCGCGCTCTGACCACTGACCCATCTAGCCCCCAACCTGAACACTGAAGAACAGACGGCTGTATCCTCAAATCGATTCAGCGGGACAGATCTCCCACTGTAGGCTGGCTGGGTGACAAATTCATACTACAATGCACAACCAAATCGTACGTAGCTGCCCAAAGATACAAACTGGTCACTGAAATAATTCTTATTAAACATCACAGTATGGCCGGCTGGTAACGGACATGCAAAACGAAGCCGGGCATTATACAGTATCGTCACCAACGGGTCACAGCCATATATGTGCTCCATCATTGGATAGCTGAAGCAATTGCTTCAACAAATCTCCTTAAAATGCATGGAGTGCGACTAAACTCTCATTGTTGCCGATGCCATGCACTGGAGTTTTGATAATCATTTATCTCGTAAGAAAACTCCACACAGCTAGTATCTCCCGAGTTAGTTTCTCAGATGAAGCACGATGGTTACCATCTTGCTTAGTGTCTTCTCCCTAGATAGCTCAGCGAACCTACTGACCCGTACTCTTCTGGGATGGATAGTTACGTAGCGGCTGCAAATGTACAAGAATCCTTTCAAGTGGTAGTGCTTTCTGAGATCCTCATAGAATTACCATTAGGTCTCATGAGAGTGAGACATCCCAGTGACCAGAACAAAGGACGTTAAGCACGGCACCGACTCTGTTCCTGTGTGGCGAAATTTTCCACTTCGTGTCATTGCTTACTCCGCACCAAAAACCCATAATGGAATGAAACCAGACTGCTGAGAAGTTGACCTGGCATTTAGAAAAAATGGACCACCGAACGGACAGTAATTATGCCTCACGCCGATCTACTTTGTCCCGGACCGGTCACATCGGAGCTTGTTCCTGTGTCCTAGTATCAGCTGAAAACTTACCGAGAGTGCACATTTATATGTTGAAACGGACATGGAGAATATAGCAACCTCGATCTGAAAGTTAAGAAATCAGGTCTTATCTCTTATCACCTAAAGCAGACATGGTATGCACGAATTCATGGAACTCAGGTATTAGAATGTACATTCGTAACTTCTTCACAGCAGCTAGTTTGAAATTAGGTACACTTCAGGTTTCCCTTCAAATTAGATCTTCACCGCACACACAAGCGGTGGTATGCGTCGGGGTATTGGAGGCCAACCGGATTAACAGGCGAAATCGCTCACTGACACGGCGACTTCAAGGGTCCGAAGAACTTGCATTCAACTACCTCGCACACACCCAATAGTTCATCCATTTTTTGTCAACTACTAGCTCCTGACTTACTTATGCTATCATACCACACTATCAAATACTGTGCTCACCCGAACCTAGGGGCCCGCCTGCACCACTCGTTACCCAAAAACTGAACTGAGACAATCCATTAATGATTGCGAGAGTACGCCCCATTTTCGACAGAAATTTGGAGGGTTTGATCAAAAGTGAGGCAGGATTATCTAGGATAAACTGGCAGCTCTTTTCAAATCAGTACCTGCTGTTAGAACAGAATTTATTGTCTCAGCCCATTTGAAGACCAAAGCGCTACGCGACCGAATCACCTGGTGAGATCAACTAAGCACGACACGCAATGGGGTACTTTGCAGCAACAATTAGATTCTGTCTCCAGGAGGGATGGATTTCTCTGCTGCCTGGTTGGTACCATCGACAAAACCTGAAGAATGGGTCGAGAGTTCTGTTCAGCCGATGCTACAGATCGAGTTTCTTATACTGAAGGAGAGTGGGATAGGTGGTCGGACAATTTCCAAATTAAAGTGTTGAACTATGGGTTATCCTTCGGTGACCAACAAATACAACGTAAGCACACACTGACTGAAGTTTATCTGTTCAGCCTTCATCCATAAATCGCATAAGTATCTTGTAAATAATCGGCACTGTCGAAATTGGTTCCAGCGAACTAGTGCCCATTTTCTTCACCAACTGAACTGACAGGGGGTTATCAGACGTATACAACTTTCAATTAGGTGTAGGACATCATTGGTCACAACAGGGAAGAGGTACCTGTGTTGGAGTTAAACGATGCAAGTAGAAAAACGGGGCATTCCCCGAGACTCACTTCGTGGTTCGTACAAAGATTAAAATGCAGGAAGATGCAACCGATTCCGAGGAAAAAAGGTAAAAAGATTAGTTCGAATATTAGCCGTAACGCTGGTACGGGTGAGCCGGTGGCTGCTTTTTTGTCAGATCATCCGAATACACAGATAAGGACACACCGACTTACTAATACTCTACTTTGGCCTCTTTATGAGGCCTTAACACCCCGTGGGTCCAAAGGCTGAGTTTTTGTCCACAGATACTGAGTACACGGGCAATATGGCCACGCTTGGAGTGGAAGCCCAACAAATTCAAACCGGCTGAAAAGTTAATTCAAACACGGCCCATCTAACACTTCACGTCTTCAGTGCACTAACGGATTGGATGATTTGGTCGATGTGACAATGGGTAGCTACACAGACACCCACAAACACGATCACTTCCGGAATCGGTGAAGGCTCTTTCCTTTAACCTCAGACATCCACACTACTGGTACGCGATCAACCTGATTATCAAGAGTGAAGTAATCTTGGTGGAATAAGATACACTGACAAAGATGTGGTCACTACGCAGCAAACAAGTGCGAAGGTCCCCCCCTTCTATTGCGCTATCGATTGATCAGATCTGTCGATCAACTACAGGTGAACCAACCGATCAACTACGGTGAAATCGGTCTACTCAAAACTACTTGTTCGCAGCCACCTGTTGGAACATTCGAATTGATTTTAATCAATCCAGCAGTGTACACCAATGGTGAGGTGGACTTTTGGCCTCACCACAGCATATGTACTGTAGGATTAGCAAAAGTACGACAGCAGAACGGCCGGACATGAAACTGTCCTGAAAAATAGCTCGCCACTAGCAGCTTCCATGGCAAACGATGACGCAACTGTCAGAAGACCATCACAAAGAAACCCTTGGTACGCTCAAAATACAGGCTCTCGATCAACGATCATATGGGGATAAACATACATGATAATCGATTTCACCTGCACAGGTCTTTACTATGAGACCACTCCGAGGTTGCTACAGTGGTGCTAACATTCGGCAACCTTGAAGTTCGAAGAGACAATACTCACCTTGGGTTACAGGGGCCTTGTTGCTTTGCTCCTACAAACTACTAGACATGAAGCTCTTGAATTAACGCTGGCAATGAAACTACTTCGAAGCGAAGGAAAACACCAGTTCTTTGTTCAAACAGATAGGGTGACATTCAACTAAGAAACAAACGCCATCAAACAACTGTCCCGGATTACGAAATAGCTGGACCGAGAGCGACTAAAATTCGATGGATTAATGAGTCTACGCAAAGCTGAAGATACCAATGCTCAGCTTGGGAGCGGTACGATAATCTGTATCCAAATACCGGATATGGTACTTGTTATCCGAAAATACCAAGTAATCAACGTCATTCTGATATGAAATGTCGCCCTTTGGGTTTATATGTTATCGAGGATGACTGACTAACCAGAGATCAAACTGGTCTGGGGTGGTACAGCCTCTTTCTACTCGGTTTCTAAGTTTCAACAACTGTGGGCACCCAGTGGTCAGTCTGATTAAGCAGAGAAGCGAAACCGGATGATGTAGGGTTGGGTAAATTGGAAAAACTGGTAGAAAAGTATCGCTGAAAATAGCAAATCATCTATCTAATTCATTGTCTCGTAAACCGGATAAAAACAGTTTAATCTGGAATAACGTCGAAAGCGTGAGATATTAATCCATGTTAGTAGCTCAAAACGAGCAACATTAGACTCAGATTTCAAGTCCGGTTATTCATAAACAACACTCACGTTCGTCCAGCCATTCGTTCAAACCAACCCTAGTAGGCATGAATTGAACTATCAAATTGGTGACTTCGCTAGACGAAATGACAAAAACCAACTGGTTCGGTTTCGACCATATCCCAACCTGCGCCAAACTGCCAGTGATTGCTCAGTAGTGAACTTCAAAGTAAATAAAAGTGCCTTCCAGAAAATGACAAATTTCATCGGCATGACCAGGGTGTAAAGTGAATGTGGTGCCGTTGACAAGCCAGCAGTTTAACGTGGGGGGACGCGTCGGTCATTCTTGCGCTGTCGCATGCCGCTGTTTAGTCTTGTGCCTTGATACTTCCAGCTAAGTACCAAAAGACCAAGTTATGTTAGTGTTTGACTCACAAGTGAGGCTGCTTCAATAAATGCAGCGTCACTCAGTAGTCCTACCCATGCTAAACTGCAGTGTCAAGTATGGAGTTTTGAACGGCGGCCAAGTTTCACCTCACTTCAGCTTTACTAGATGCCCAGTGCATGTCTGTCACCCGATTTTCCGTGAATTTGGCTTTTGGGGAGGACGGAGAGGATTTAGGGTATGATCCAACCGATTTTCTCAACCCGGTTAACTTCGCTTTGTCATTGCGGTACCTAGCTGCACCTCATATATAAGTTCACACAAGATATGAAGTCAACGAATTGCAAATAGGGATGTAGTCGTTTCTTTTCTAGTGTAGAACCTGCATTCTACGGGTAGCGGTGGCGTTCTAGGCAATTTGGAAATAGGGATGGAATTACTTCGCCTCAGCACTAACTGACGGTAGGAGGACTAGCGAAGAGTGGGAAAGTATCTAATATGAAAAGGCAAGCACAGGCCCTCGTAATTTAGCAGTAAATAGAAAGACGACCACGGTATAGTCTTGGCACATCATTCTTTGGACACCCAATAGGAAGACCAAGCCAAATCCAAATAACCTACACCATGGTGACTATGGTCCTCCCATTTCCACCACTTTGTTCTTGTCTTGTGGGAATGTAGAATGAAGGGTTGACTCCCAATTCAACGACTGAGCCCCAGATAGCTCAGCGGTTACGGTGAAGTCAGTGACAGGAAGGTTCGCGGTTACAACTAAACCTTGGTGTAGAAGCCTAGTGCTCTACAAAACCAACGAATCGATGCTTTCCTACAGACGACAGTATATGAGCACGCTACCTTCGTGGAATGGTTGCCGAATAACCAAAACGCCATCAAAGAAAACGAAATAATCAATATCCAGTAGGCGATTTGCGCCGGATATTCCCTGAAAAAGGTGACAAAACAGGATGCACATCTTTCGGTTTATAGGAAATAATCTCATGGACAAGGAACATCTAATAGTCACACTTTCCCGACATCTGATTCACCCAAAGCGAGACAAAATTAAAGACTTGTTTCAGGTTTTGTTGCACAGAAAAAACGAACGGTGGTACGCAGAACAGCGATAACTTCAGCAAATGAAAAGCAAGAAACCTTTATCTTTGGAAACAAGGGAATTTGGTAGAACACCTACCGTCAAGCCAATGAAAATGAGGTCCGAAGACTGGCAGTCCTCCACACTTGGTTGCGAATTCGTCGCAGCGGCGTGCCAGGTCTGCACCACTATGATAGCAGTATGCACTCAGCATCAACAATGTTTTGCAGTTAAATATAAGCTATTCAACTCATCTGATGAACCAGAAGCTTGCGAAACCCACGGCAATGATGGCTTAGCATTCATGCAATCACACATCCAACATTCCGATCGACACCCGCTTTAAGGAGACGTGCTCAGTCTATGAAAATTCATGACTAGATGGGAACTTGTTTTGGGCAACCACCTCCAATGCAGTTCTCTTACCTGGAATCCGTGGAGAAAACCGTGGAAGCTGAAGCCATTGTGGTTTGTGCACGTTCTGCAGTTGATGACGATGGGATCACTGTGGTTTGGAAACAAGGTACACTAACGAAAAGCACCTTAGAAAAGGGAGTTCGTGCACACCACAAAAGTGGCAATGACGGCCGCGACCCATTCACCTTGAGCATACCAATTCCTATCTTCAGCCGTGGGATGGCTCAAGTGGTTAGAGCGCGAATTTACTGATTGGAAGGTCCGTGGTTCGAACCCGACCTCTGCCTCTCGACTTCCCCTGTCTAGGCTTGGGCAACCTGGCAGTATTCCAGCCCTCGTGCTTCCTTCGGGTGGCATGGCAGCTAGGCACCGGAAGGGTGTTACAGCCGGACGATTTTTTTAGTTAAGACATCAGTGTATCTAAAGATGAGTACGATTTTCATCTGCTCGACAATAATCTCCTCTCAAGACGCCAAAGATTGACCTTCATATCAAAATAAAGAGCAGTTTGATGCATGAAGCTGTCGGCGCACATCGATAGAATAATGATCTACTCTAGCCTCAATCGAAGCGACGAACATAACGTAGCTGAACAGCTTGACTTACGTTTATCGCCTTTGGACCGATTGGTTTGGAGAAATTGGTAGACATGGCCCTTACAATGTTTTTTCTGTACGGAAAGAAGGCAGCTCAGCAATCAGAACGGACAACTGGGAAAGTTTGGAACCAACTGAGAAGTCGTCGTTTCAGAAGGTTGAAACAAGCGTGAAATGTTGACTTTGAAAGGCTTCACGTCAGGCCAGGATGCGAAAGGTTAATAAATACCGCTCGGAGGTTTGGAAACCCACTTTGCACACAACTTCGAGATGCATTGACGTGGGAATCCAGTGGTCTCGAAGTAAAATGTCACGAATAATGCCCAGCTAAGCCCTGGGACATGTGATCGCTCGATACTTCAGTCAACCAACCTCGAGCAAAAAGCCTAACATACCCGGACAGACCTGTAATTATGACCTCCAGTGATTAGAGAACAGTATATTTCTACGGTTCAATCCTGCTGCAACAGACAATCAATAAAACGCCCCGGGGCGGAACAAGTGTCACTTCGATATACGATCAGTTTGATCTACGGGGAAATATCAACTCACGATGGTCTAGTAATTAGACGACTGTTGATGACTGGTGCGACCAAAAAACGGGTGATAGAACGAACATCGCGAAGGAAAAAGCTAAGGAAACCAGTTCATTTGCGAATAAGAACTCGGAAAACATACATAGTAACACGGCTGTGACAAAGTTAGTGCAACGACAGCGAGTAATCTGTTCCAAAGATCAGCGTTTTAATTTTTTTGGGGGGGGGGGTATAACCCGAGATACAATTTGAACTAGCGATTTACGGCCGTCTGGTGAGCTGCACATCGTCAGGACTGGTGATCTCCAGAATTTCAATTTCTCCGAAATCCACGGATGGTAGATCCCTATTCCGACCAAAAATCAATTGAGATGAAGCATGACGATCAAACAGTGCAGTTTTGCCCACATATCCGCACAAAAAACGATCAGTTTGACTTCCTGAAGGTTTCAAGTCAAGACTGCTGACACATCATTCGTACATTGCAGACTCACGTTCTTGTGACATCGCAATCTGAAATAAAGGGAAAGACCATCCCACGTTAACGCTTTTGTTGTCAGGAGCATCGAAATACTGGAGTGAAAGTTTTCAGTGGTTCACAACCTCAGTGAACTAAGGACAAATGGGTTGTCAACCGCCGAAAATTAAAGAGAACTCAGCCACGTTTAACTTAATTCTTTAGGAATGTGTTATGAGGTGGTTAGGTTAATAGAAACCGCGGCTGAAAAATGCCAGCTGTTTCGTCTTCACCAAGAGGTAGCACTGGACATTAACACAAGATCGGGTGACGGATGTTGAGTATTATACCTAAGCGGAATAGATGCATATATGCAGTCAAGTTATCCTGTGTTGATGACAGATGGTATAAAAACAGTTATGGGTAATGAGGAAGGTATCTGATAGCTGGATCACCATACTAACAGAAAAATGTATCGATTATGCAGCAAATGTTTCAAGTATTATGTTGATAGACAGAAGTCTCACAGCGGGTGAAATTCTGAAAAGTGACTTTATCAAGCATGGAGCGTTACAGGTAGAATGCCGAGAAATAGATCTAGGGAATAGTAGCTGGTTGTAACTACGCTGAATGATAGCGAAAAATAGTAGGTCCACAGTTTGGTGCGTTCTAAGAAGGTTAAAATTCGGAGTAGTAAATACGTGTGCCCAGTGAAAACGCTGTGATCAATATCACGACAAAAATGTAAGTCTTCGATTTCCACCGGTATATCGAATCAATGCACTGTGGCTTGGGAAAGTTAAAAAAAAGCTTAGTGGTAATTAAGTCCGGTGAATAAATCGAACATACTTTGTCTTCATTCGTAAAAATAAGGTTTCGCTTGAAGGGACAAGTGGCCACTGGGCTAAGTTTAACGATATTCCCAAAGACTCGCTTGACCAGGACGGATTTTAACCGTGTAAGCTAAATCAATTGTTAAACGGTAGAAAGTCAAGAGGGAAACGTGTGGTTAGGAAATCGATGATTCAATTAACTCAGATGAATCCATGCTTTTAAGAGCTACACCTTACAAGTCTCCAAGAATTCCAGGCACTCATCAGGTGGTTAAAATGGCTTATTCGTAAACTATCTTATTGCTTCACCAAACAGCGCGATGAACCAATGACAAGTGAATCAGCTGAGGAAAGCAGTGGTTGTGGGTTTACGGCGCACGTGTAATGAGGTGCCGCCAGGGTACTTACCTAGATTACTGGACGACCATGATGCCCAACCAAAGCATTGCGCTCAAGGTAGCGGCAGTTGGCGCCACATGTCCCAACGCCAAAAAAGAGGCAATATGGCTCAACTGATCGAATCGGAACAGGACTACACAGCGTATCTCATGGATGCTTACAGCTTGGGCAGTGAGACTTCGTCACAAACTGAGGGGTTGAGAATGCCAAAAGGAGAGAATCACTGGCTGAAGGCGATATATTTGCATAGCTAGCTTGTTTGGGACATTTTCTACCAACTGGGCTGTATTTAACTTCGTAGCAAGTGATCCAAACGTATCTGGTGCAAGGAAAACGCTGACACCCAAAGTGTGAACTCAGCTAGAGGCTGGTAGCTCAGACGCTATAGCCATACACAAAGACGGTGGCCGTAAAAAAGAGTCGTTCATACCTTTTTCGTTTGTATGTAGCTGTATGGTTCAGTGAAGTTAATGGGTAATTTACATCTGGAGGCCAAATAGATATGTAAAAAGTAGTATCCAACCAGTGAAACGTTTTGTCGGACCAGTGACAGATCAGTGGTAAAAATACGGACCGCTCACCCGAGTACTCAATCCCGACCACCGTTGCAAAGAATGGAAGTGAACAAGGACAGTGCTGGATATGTTTGAGGTCACCTGTTCAAACCGTCTTGCGTAGAGGTCCATCACCGATTAGATCCGCGGTACAATTTTGATACCTGGTGAGAGTAAGATTGATCGCAAGCAATGGTGAGGTAGTCATGCCATCCAGACTAACTGCAGAATGAAAATGGACACGCTTGGAGTAGGTAAACCCAGTGGATCAGGAATTGTCATCCATGTAGAGACCAACGACGAGTCGACATATATTTTTACTCATGAAGCTAAACAAAAAAGCCCACGATGACTGCGATCAAATAACCAAGGATGGCGAAAAACAGAGCCCTCCTGTAATCCACTAACTCGCTGGCCAACAGCAGTGAAGCATCGGTGTTGAACACTGATGTCATGCTGTCGATGATCGGTGTTGACACTGATGTCATGCTGTCCAATGATGAGGATGCTTGAGGTCCGGTTACCTTACAACTTTTCGCGGCGCGGCACTGAAGCCTGCGAAGCGCATTATCGCTGTTGACGCTCTCCCTAAAAAGTTGCGCCCACAAGCCAAAAGGATTTACGTGGACTGTCCCTTGGAGATTACCTACACATTTATACGTCATGCACTTTCGGTCGTCATCCGTAAGACGGCCAACACTAACCGGGTCATTCGTTAGGCATATCCAACGACCGCCCGGAAAGGCAACTCTGCCAAACCTATGGGAGCATTGGAAGGTTCACTACTCCGGCATCCTGCGTTGAGCCGCCGACAGCAAGCCGTCAGAAAACCCAGTAATGAATTGAAGAACGGACCAAACTTGACATGTTTTCGAGTACGGTTTAACGTTCGCTTTCATTTCAAAAACTTTCGGGTACGTTCTCTAGTTTATCCATGCATTCGGTTATTGATCATCTCACCATATTGTCTCGGCGGCGTTCACTTCTCAAGTCAAACAAGGAGTATATTGAGTGTCTCGATATGGATGCTCATAGCTCTGCACCTGGGTGCAGATTTCCTAACAGAAAAAACTTGACGCCGAATGAATACTCCGAAATTGGAAGAACCAACATTGAAAATAAATCATTGTTCATCCCATGAGCCACCTATTAGGGGGTCACATAGTGAACTGCGGGCATGCGCAATAAACAAATGGGGGAACAAGTTTGGTTTAATTAGGTAGTGGTAATCAGGTGCAGCCGAATAAGCATGCGTAAGCATTACGCCTGAGAAGCCGCCTACTCTCTGCAAGTCCATAATCTAAACAAGATTTCTACAGCAGACCACTTACGTCGGGTCGAGGCATCCTTTCACGTCCATTTCGATCCACCCGCACAGGCTTTCGAACAAACGAAATGGCACTACAACATTACAATAGATAAAGACTAACGGACCACAACTCACCTTGCCAACGACCGTTCCGAAGACTGGAAACGAACGGACTGAGGTGAACCGCTTCCACGAATATTGGTCGGTTGATAGCGTAAAACAATCCGCATGAAACATTAAAAATTACAGCGACGACATGATAAGTTTATAAATGTGACCAAAAATTGCAATAAAGTATCAGGCTTTGGTGTTATTTGGAAAATTGCATTAAAAAGCGAAGATTTTCTGCGCGTGATTTGAAACTGAAGAATAATGGTGCAGCAATTTGGAGGCACAATGCTGTTTTCTGCGAAATCTTTTTGGGCCA